AATAATGATTAGAACGTAAAATAGTACTGATTTACAACATATTTTATAGTCATCTGAGTATGCTTATCAAAATCTGTGTAAGAAACCTTAAGTTTCCCATTTATATACCACAAATTAAGGATTTTGATATTGTAATATTTAGCGTGGCAACTGACTTTAATGTGCTGTGTGATGTTCGTGATAGTCTTAAGATATTGATGGCTGTGTGCTGCGTCCACATATTTTTTGAGATTCGGGTTTTTAAAAACATAAATTTTCTTTCTTGCGAATCACGTATACGATTGTGATATCCGACACGTTTTCGTGACGCAGCGCGTTACTGATCGGAAATTATATTTCTTCGCTATTTATGGCAGTATTTCCTCGAACGGGATGTTCAGAATTTTAAGCCTTACAAGATTTCAATTTCATTTAAAACGTATTTATTGCTTAACGATTGTGATTTGCACTACATGTTACTATTTTTCTAAACTCAAAAATACTTATATCTTACAAAACTGCTCCTCCTCCATATGCATACGGGCAGGGAGCTAGGGCTGTTTGAATTTCGGCTAGGGTCGCTCAGGTCTACGTTGTGGTTCAATTTTATCCTACATTAAAAATTTATTAATTTTTGTTTCTTTGGATATGGTTAAGCTTAAATGTATAATAATGAGTTTAAAAACAAATAAAATAAAATCTAAACCATGGATAAAATTGAACCAAAACATCTATATTGTGCTAACAGAAACCAGCTCAGCTCCCACCCATTCAAATCTATATAGATCTATTAACATGTAAATGTGTTTGAAAATATTAGGAGAAAAAAAAATGTATCCCAAAACATGGGTACATTAGGGCTGAAGAAAAGTATAGTAGGTTATAAATTCAGGATGACATGTTTGTCATGCATGCCACCTATCAATATTCCATTTCTAGCAGTAATGAATGCAGGATGTAAAGGTTTGTAATATGAAGCTAATTTTATGGGTTTAGTGGTAGAGAATTTGTATACATGCAGGTTTTGTTTCTGTTGGCTGAACTCATGATATATTTATCCCAAGTCATCATGTCACTGACTGAACAAACAAAATTCTCATACTGGGAGGTTATTGATGACTTTTCCTAAGTTTTTCTAGCACTGACTGATGTTTTTTTTCTTCTTTGCATTCAGACACGTGAGCTTCTTACACATCTCTCGAGCACTGTATTTGCCTGTGACATCTCTGGGGATACGAGGTACATCAGATGCGACTTTCCAAAATGCAGGGAACATGCAGAGGCTTTGCAAGGTAGACTGATTCAGATCTCAAAATTATGGCTTTAGATTACTGGTATTAATGTTGGGCAGATAATCATGCATATTACCTCTGAAACGTGGTTTATGTAAACATGTGTGTACAGGTCAAATTTGATTTTAGGTTAATTTTGATTTAACCTAGGTTGATTTTTTTAACCAAGAGTAAAAGTAAGGTGCCAGTGGTCACTGGTAGTGATAAAACAGGACCTTGCTCACACATGCTGATTGCATTGTTATCAATATTATTGCTACACTGGATTGTATTTTGATGTTAAAGTTTATTAATCTTCAAGGAAAACCATGCTGGATTCTTAACACCTTGAAGAATGTCAGAGTTCTGGACAACCATGTTGGAAGAGAGGTGAATTATTACATGAAAGAAATTGATTCTGGAATGCATGATCAGTTGTCCAATCCTCACTATGCAGAAAGTCAGCATTGGATTGAAGCTCAAGGTTTGCCTGAAGGAACTAGAAAGGTATTGATTGTTTGAGGCAGTGGAGGGTAAACCCAGAGACTTACTAAAATTGAGATGTACCCAGACCCTTGATTGAAAATCCAAGACCTTGCAGGAAAAAGTTTGAAAAATGAATAATCTGAGATGGAAAGAAGCACACAGGAATGACACCTTGATATCTTTTAGTTATAATGATTCTATAATTTTGAGAGTAGTTAAAGTTTTTTAGAGACCTGTGACATCTTAGGAACCATTCCTCATAACCCATCTTGTATGTAGTGTGTACTGTGAGGACAAATGACTGGATGTTGGTAGGATTGTTGAGTTCTCATAGTTTTTTGTTTTTTCAAAGGATATGGTGATGTCATGGTGGTACATAACATAAGAGTTAAAAATTTAAAAAAAATGAAAAATACAATCATCATCATCATCATTACCATCACCATTGTCATCATCATTATTTTACTGGATTTTTGTTTCTTATATCAAAATCCAAATCCCCACATTCAGCTGACATTTGCCACTTACTGCTCTTGATGCATAATGAACACCTTGGTGTATATATTTTTTAACCATGTTACTGTTAACTGCATTGGACAAGATCCCAATACAATGTACTGTGCCTCTGCTTTAATGAACAATTTTTCCTGTTGCTGGGCACTGATGTTGCATTAGGTTTTCAATGCATATGCATTACTTTGGGGTATCTAGATTTTTAGACTTTATACCTGTGCTTTGATACTCCATCCAGGTTCTTGCTGTGTTTAATCTCAAAGACCCACAGTCACAGTTTGGTGATTGGATTTCACTGTTTCTAAAAGCTGCTTTTATGTCTGAAGGTAAACAGGCACATATGTGTACATGTGGTTGGTAAATAGTTAGAGGCCACATGCCATTTTACAGTTGTTCACTGGGTGTCCCAGCTTGAGTGAAAGTATTGTTGGAGGTGCACTAAGGCTTAAGGCTCACTCAGTCACTCGGCATGCAACTGAATAATGGCCCATTAGATATTTAATAGAAGTGCTAAATATGTGTCAGAATTATAAATTTTCTCAGTGTTATTCCGAATTACAAATGTATATAATTATGAGAACGAAAACTTGAGTACCTTAGAAACTTGTTTGTAACCTGAATTTACGGATTCTTTGTATGGTTAGACAAGTAGTATTGTAAGCTTTCTGATAAGTTAACATCAGGTTTTTGCGACATCAAACTTAAAACAGTGTACGGTGTATAGGGATTGTTTTAAGTAGCATTTTGAACTTAAAGCTGGGCAATTTAAAAGACTATCAACAAGAAGAAATGCTTATGAAGTATTCTTGTGTATACCTCTTCTTTTCAATAGTCTTTTATTATCGTTTTACATTTTGGACTTGTCAAATTAACAAATCAGCAACAATTTTCCATGGTCTGTACTCTTATTGACCATAGAAATGACGTCAAATGTTCACAACTCAAGAAGAATCATGAGCAGCAGGCGAGTGGTTTCACTGCAAAGGTTTGAACATTTGACATCATTTCTATTGTTGATAAGAGTACAGACCATAGAAAATCATTGACAATTTGTTTTTTACAATGATAACATTGACAGTTCTGGTCCCAGTAGTTCAAATGCCGGACAGCACTATCCACCAGGTAAATCGCTATCCAGTGGATTAGTATTTGGAAAAGAAATTGCGCTATCTGTTGGATAGAGATTTATCCGGTGGATAGCTTTATCCACCTTTTGAACCATTGTATCCATTTGTGTCCATTTTCATTGAAGCTTCTCTGAAAATTGTGCGTGAGAGAAAGAATAAAACAAATCTTCCACCATCATGTCATTTCCATGTTCTGTACACCTATCAGACATAGCTCTCATCCAATCAGCGCGCAAGAAATCGCTCAGTTATTGTTAAATTTGTTTTTGACAGCAGTTGGCCATGATTTCTCTGGGGTGTCTGATTAATGTACTCTTTTTCTTGCTTCTTTCATTGTGTTTTTTTTACAGTGTATGTTGTCTTTTTGTTGATAGGGGTACAAGGACATGGCTGTGTTGTAATCACCCAGAACTTTGTGAGTCGTTATGAGCTAATGGAGTGCATTGCAAAGCTCAGTTTCTTGAGCAGTCATCTGCCAACAGGTTTGGATCATTCTTTTTTGATGGATTTAGCTTTTGACTCTAAGGCCCAGCATCCAAATCCAAATTCTCCAGACTGATTTTTTTACACAAGATGTACCTTTCCTTAAAGAATAAGTCGACTGAGAATTTGATTAAAGATCAAAGCACTTGTGGAGGCAGCGTGGCCAAGTGGTCAGCGTGTGGGACTCACAATCCGGTGGTCCCGGGTTCGAGTCGCACTCTGGCCACTTGCTGGATTTGTTCTCGGTCCTCCCGAGCTCGAATCCTGGGCCACGCTTGTAAATAGCCAACTGGTTGCCTAGTCCAGCCAGTTGGAGTTTTTAATCCTGTTATGCTGTATTTGAATTATTTGTTTTCTAAGTATTTACTGATTGTAAAGGGCTTTGGATCACTAAGAGAAAGGCGCTATATAAGTGTATATTACTATTATTATTATCATTCTTACTTTTCTCTTTGGTTAGTCTGCTTCACAGCCGGTTTTAGTGTTGTCACATAATAATACTGTGAATTAATATTGGTAGGAGAAAATATTATTAATGTTGGTCATTCTTGGGACTTATTTTGACTCTAGGTCCTGGAATAAATTTAAAAATGCAACCCTCTCTAAGAGGTCTGTAGATAATTTATCTCTTGTTAACATAAAACATGATAACAGCGGTTTCACTGCCTTATCTTCTTTCTTAGTTGAAGTTGTTGCAGCATTGAGCTGTCACTCGAGTTCTCAGGGCCAGGTGTTTTCATGCACACCATTTGCTATGGGCAAGCAGTGCGGATTTGAAGAATTTTGCTCCTTGCATGACTTTGTGATGGCTTGTCACAATGTTTTAAACAACGTTCTGGTGGCTGTACACATCTCATCGTGTTTTACCTTAAAGCTGGATTGCTCTCATGTGGTGAGTTTTCTTTCATGAGAGACCCTTCCGCGGGTTTTTTCAATTTTTGACATGGACATGTTTTTTATGAATGCCGTGTTCGAGCTAGAAGTTAACAGTTTACGAAAGCAAGTCAAAGATTATGTTTGTCTAACATCAGTGGGCAAATTGTTCCACAGCCCCGTTTTAGCAGAAGCTATTTCTATAGTAATTGGTTCGTGGCAAGGCAATAGCAAGCTTGTTTTCAGAATCTCTAAGGCTATAAGAATTAAACAAATCGCTGCGCAGTATGTAATCATCAAAAGGCAGGAAAGTACCCTCTCACTAACTTACATCTGAATAATCGCAATTTGAAATTTCGGTTTTAGACTTGAAAGCTCGAACAACCTAGTACAGCGTTAGAAAACAAAGAGTACCGTTTCTGGAATAATACTAGCCTGCAAATACAGCCGTTTCTCCTCGTTCCTCGCCTGCTAGGGACGTTGCGCCAGGAGGGACGTCTGCGCGTCAGCGTCAGAAATTCCAAACTGATTACGTCAAGTCTGTCTGGAATCTAGTCAGGAGCTCTGATTGGTCGACGTAGTAGTCATATTGTTTTAGCTATTGCTTATGAATGGCAGACAAAAGGCAAAAGGCCACAAAGGTCAAATGTAAACGCGATGAATCTACTACAAAACAGGCAATATTCGTGGAATATATTATTCTCTACAAGAAGCATTTGGGTTTTGCTGGAGCTCGATCACGGAAGAACACAAAACTTTACCATAATCTACCAGGAGAAACCATAGGTATCCCAAGCTCACGAGTGTCCTACTCTTTTTGATCATACTGAACTTTATTCAAGTATCAGATACTTTAGCTATATAAGCTAATTGGGGACACAGATCAGTAGAGTGGGTTCTTTTACAACCCTTCAAACTGACTGATAAAAGAGGGATGAATTAGGAGCCAAGGTCAATGTTTTTACGCCATTACCCAATGACGCGATCATCTGAACTGAGACAAAGCCTTAAATCACAGCCAGCGAGATCTCCCCAGGTTTGAAAGACGCTGGTTGGATGTCCGAGCTAACTGAGCGACGGTCGCGCGTTTCGAATAACTCCGATTTACATTTGCTTTACGCTTACACAACCTAATATGCAGCGCCATAAGAAGGACCTGCTCAGTAACTCTGGCTTGAATGAGCACACTTCGTAGCGGATGTAGTTTCTTTCCTTCATCATTTGTGTAAATGTGTTACGGCAGTTGCATTAACCTTGAAATGTCCGAAAAGTGAATACACTTTTGCCATCTTTCTTTGTATTGCAGGACTGGCCGGTAGATGCAGATTGGCTAAAAAACAAACTTCAATGCATTCTCAGCGGCAGCACCAGAGAAGTGTATGAAACTGGCTCCCAGGTAGCTGATCTACATTTAATGCTCTCCACGATGCTTCCCAGCTCTGACGCTGAAACTTGTGGTACACGTTTAAGGACTGCAGTGCTGAGAGCGTGCGAGGAAGGATTTCCTGATCTTGCAAGGGAGATGGGCCTGGAGGTTTTGGACCCTGACTCTGTGAGGGAGAGACTTTCAATGATTTAAGTACTTTACAGTAAATCACAAAATGACTACCATAAGATAATCACTACTTACAAATAATGCCAATGCAGAGACAGTATCAGAGAAAAAAGCAAGTTTATTCACACAGAAGTCCTACATGAGCAGCCGAAAAATAAAGACAAAAGTGTCGATGTGTTTTAAATTGAAGCTCACTGGCAATCAGCTGTAACCCAAACTCTTCCCTAACCCTAACCCTAACCATAACACCCCAACCCTAACCCTTCCCTAACCCAGATACATGTACCCTTTCCATAACTGGAACCCTAACACTGTCCTTCCTTACCCTAACACTAACCCTAGGCTCAGGTTTATGAAAAGTAACAAGGGATGATTGTCAATGAAAACTAACGACAGTAGAACTAAAGCTTAGTCATGGCAGACAAGTGCTCCAAAAAATAAACTGAGATTGTAAGTTAACAACAAACTGTACTATGTAATTAAAAATTGGACTAGCACAAAATATTTTGTACCAGTTTAATATATTCTGTACTGGTACAAAAACAAATTGTACCAAAGTGCAAATTGAACTACAACATGTACAGCTCAAATTTGATTTCAGGTTGATCTTGATTTAAGCTAGGTTGATTTTTTTAACCAAGGGTAAGAGTAAGGTGCCAGTGGACACTGGTAGTGATAAAGCAGGACCTTGCTTACAGATGCTGATTGTATTGTCAAAATCTTTGTACAGTAGCATTAGCTAGCCATTGTTATTATTACTAATACTATTGCTACATTGGATTGTATTTTGATGTTAAAGTTGATTAATCTTCAAGGAAAACCATGCTGGATTCTCAATACCCGGAAGAATGTCAGAGTACTGGACAACCATGTTGGAAGAGAGGTGAATTATTACATGAAAGAAATTGATTCTGGAATGCATGATCAGTTGTCCAATCCTCACTATGCAGAAAGTCAGCATTGGATTGAAGCTCAAGCTTTGCCTGAAGGAACTAGAAAGGTATTGATTGTTTGAGGCAGTGGAGGGTAAACCCAGAGACTTAATAAAATTGAGATACCCAGACCATTGATTGAAAATCCAAGACCTTGCAGGAAGATGTTTAAAAATGAGTAATCTGAGATGGAAAGAAGCACACAGGAATGACACCTTGATATCTTTTACTAATGATTCTATAAATTTGAGAGTAGTTGAAATTTTTTAGAGACCTGTGGCATCCTGGGAACCATTCCTTATAATCCGTCTTGTATGTAATATGTGTACTGTGAGGACAAATCACTAGAGGTTGGCAGGATTGTAGAGTTCTCATAGTTTTTTGTTTTTAACCAACCTTAACCCAAAGGATATAGTGATGTATGTTGGTATATAACATAAGAGTGAAAAATAAAAAAAAAAAATACAAG